GTCAAAACCAAGCAATTCTTACAAATAAATCAACTAGTCTTATGCAATTATTTCAGGCAGATCCTCCTTCTCATGTCTTCAGGGAAGCAACAACAACAAAAGCAGCCACTGTCAGTTGTTAGATCTAGTGTCTCTTGGCTTTGTGTGTTCCCCATTAGCATAATATATTTTACAGGTACCTTAATATTTTTAAACTTTTTTTACAGCTTTGAAAAACTTTTTCAAAAAATTAAGTTTCAATTGCAATAATTTCTAAAGTGAAAGAATCAAATGTCTGATTAAAATACAAACCTATCCTGAGATTTTTAAAAATTTAATTTAGCAAAAGGAATGCAAAACTAAATTCTTACATGTGTTTGCAGACAAAAGCTCAAGACCCAAGCTGCAGTAGATTTGTTAGACCAGAATGTGTTTAATGACTGATACTGTATGTGAACAGAATACAGCGGTAGCACAGCTGCAGCGCTTTCACGTTTTAGATTAAGGTGAGCTGACACAATCAAGACAATCGAGACAACATACTCATAAAAAGAAATTGCCTGCATACTGATTTATGGACTTCCAATTCTCTACCCTCTCCTAGAGCAGTGCCTTTCTCCAAGAGGTTATAACTGAAGATGGACTTTGGTAATCCAGACACTCAATACTATCGAGGATAAGGAGGAACGCCTGCAATCAAGGGAACAAACAAACAAACAAAAGGTTATCATCTGCTACAGCAGATAAAGCTACCCCTGTAATAACAACTTCCCACTCAAAAATAAAAGTGACGAGCTCAACTTCAGACTCCAAACACCCTATGGCCCATTTCTATGCCAGACGCTGCACAGAACATCCATGACCTAAAGGTGACTCCTGCTTATACAAGCTGCCCACATTCGCAGGAATGGGATTTCGAGCCCAGTTCAACATTCAGCAATTGACTAATGAGAATCAGATTGATCACCAAAAAGAAAACCCCAAAAAACTTGAAACCAATTTGCCACAGCTATGGGTTCAAATTGAAGACGAGAAAACAATCAGACTATGAAAGCAAAAAGACTGTATTTTTAAAATGCTTCCTACTACATACAAGAACAAATGCAGGATGTGATGTTTACTTAGTTTTATTAATTTATTTTTGCAGGAGTCTGCAACTCGGAGTATGCACTTTCTGGAGGTACCATGCATGCATAGCCTCTGAATGCTTTTATACAGTTTCATCTCTTAGTAATAAGTTCATTCACAGCATACACAAATCTAGAATGTAGACACCATATATACAGGATTAAACAAGATCGTGTCTTCTTTTTTTAATGAAAAAAATTTAACAGGGTTTCACACAGCAGGAAATATGGATTAGATACACTGGTGCCACCATAAATAAATAAGTTCCAAGAACACAGTTTTTTAAAATCGGTTTCAAAGGTACTGAAAATCCAGGATTATAGTATTGCATTAACGCCACTTATTTCTGATTATTCAAAACCAAGAAAAATATTGGCAATATTTATGGACATAAACAGCAATGAAAGCCCCAAACTGAAGAAATCTGGCAAAATTCAGTCATGTCTAGTCATGTGATCTTGATATTTTGAAAGGAAACAAATGCAGCGGCACACAGAGACAGTACTGACTACGAGATGCGGTATCTGCGCAGGTCTTCTTTCTTTATGGGATTTTGAGTCACTGTAGTACAGAGCGCATAAATTCTGTGGCACCAAACAAGCTGATGAATTGTTTATGTCCAACTGTCCACTTCTCGTCAGGATAGTCATTTTCACATTCTAGGGTACACCACTGATTTTTAAAGCAAAAAAAACTACCATCCTGATGACAAGCTTGTTTTTAACATATTTATTATTCTCACATTCTTTTTAAAAACATTCGTTATTGTTTTTACTTTGTTTTGTCCCCATTTCAACTCAAGTATTTTTATTTCAGTCTCAAGGGGTTTTACAATCAATATTAAATGCAAAAGTATTTAGAAATTGAAATGAGAGATGTAAAACTGGGACAGATAAAGTAACTGAAAGAAAAGGTTTGGTGTGTGTTTTTTTTTTTTTTAAAGTGTGATTTAGTAGCATATCATAATCAGAAAGTACTGAGACCAGCTCTTTTAAGAATTATTATACCTTTTCACCACACCTCCCATTTTTCAAGGGAAACACACACATACCACAGACACACAGATACACAATTCAATCTGATCTAAGACTACATTTTACAAAGTACTTCCTTTTGCTTGACTTCCCATCCCTCTCCTCTTCACCCAAAAAAGACTAATAATTACATCAAATTAAAAGCAGATCCAAAGTTTAGGATTTCTTTTGGTTTACTATGTTCTGAATGATTTTCCACAAGCCCCACTCTAAATAAACTTTTAAGGAACTACAGTAGTATTCTATAATTAAAGGGAATTCATCTTAATAACACAGTAAATATAAAATAAGCTTTACAAAATTTCAATGAACAGTGAAATCATTTTGAATATCTGAATGTCCAAGCCAGTTACAAACTCTACCAATCTAGTAGCATAGTTGAGGGAAAGCTCAGTCTTTAAGGAAAAAAAAGAAAACACAAGTAGTGCATTAAACTCAACACAATGGCATCAGCATCCCACCATTCACACACACACACAGTTTATACAATACAGTGCATTTTGTATGGCAGCTGACATTAGGGTTTTATGTGCATTCAATAAATATTACACAAACCAATCTTTTTGGCATAATCTACAACTCAGTTGGGGTGTGAACGGCGCCACCTGCTTTCAGAAGGAAAATGGATCTTCCAATATTCAAGATACAATTTACATTCTAACGAACTAGAAATATTCAAGCACCATATAAAGTCTCTACTATGAATGTTTGAGTATGGGCATATACAAGTAAAACTAAAATACAACAGAATGGTGGCTGATTTTTTTTTTTTTGTACAAGCAACAAATGAGAGTAATTGAAAACCTCAAGTAAAATTATTGATACGAAGGAATTAATTCGCAATTTAACAACACTCGGTCTTCTGGAAAGTATCTTGCTGTCGTGGCAGCCTTCCTTCTCTTCCTCTGGTGAAGCTACGACTCGGACTATCAAGTCTCCATTTGTGGTTATTCAGTTCAGGGAATTATTGGACTGCAAGCATTTCCCCCCCACTTCAAAAGCAGGCTGTCTGAAAATGGCACAGCTACATTGCTGCATGACACACCTACTCTCATTTGCTGACTGTCATTTCAGTTGCTATCGTTTTGTAATTCCAGCATAAACAAATGCTTCTAGAACAGAAGTACAAATTAACCGAAAATTGAAATAATACAAAGGCAAAGGCATCACAGTAGAAAAGTCATGAAGTTACTAGTATTGACTAATTGAGTAAACATTATGAAGCTGATAACAGAAATGGTTTTGCTTATCTTAGGTATAATACTTCTGCTCATCTGTTTTCTGATTATCTCAGTTTTGTCAGACTGTCCACTTACATGAAACAAAATTACTATTTGCTTTCTGACTTCATTTGACAGTAATTTTTTTGCCCCTTTCCACATGTGATGAGCTCCCCACATTGTAATATAGGAGGGAAGGAAGGAGAGGAGAGGGAAGGACAGGAGAGAGAAGGAGAGGGGAGGAAAACTAGCTCCGATGCCTTTGACTTTGTTTTGCTCATCAGTGGTGCACACTGATTGCTGGAGATCTCTTAGCTTATGCTGAAGATTTAATTAGTGCAAGAACATATTGAAAAATGCCAGATAAAATATTGGTTCCTCATCTAAGACCAGTTTGTTTTTTACTGTTGTCTTTATAAATTGCAGGGAGACAAGACACCAGATTGAGCAATGCAGTCAAGACGAGTTTTCCTCCACCCACCCCTTACAAACACTGCTTTATTTTAAATAAGGATTCAGACACATGATTGTTCTACCACAGCTTAACATGTTATCACACATCAAGTGAATTGTGGTAATTGACCATATGGACGTGGCTGCCATGAGCTAAGAACAAGTTAAAATGAAGTAGTTTAAATCTCTTCTGGTAAGGTTTACTTAGCACATATTGCCTCACAGTTGCAAAGGCAATTACCATAACTCAGCTGACGTGCTTGGTTGCGTCTCTGAATCTTGACAAAGTTATACCATAAGAACTCAAATGCACTGTACCAGCTTCTGACCAGTACACAAGAACATCCTATTCAGTCGCACAGTTGTGTAACATAATCATTCAGCTGCCCAAACCCAGGTTTGATTTCACAAGTATTGAGTGCTTTATTACAGCAACCTGAAGCATTCAAACAAATTGAACATCACCTTTACAATACAGTATATCATATGCATAAAAGTACCAGTATGATTTTCAGTTGCAAGTCTTGTGTTCTTCAATCTACGGCAAATATTTCCTGACCAAAGTAAAAAGAATTGCAGTGTGTAATTCTTCAGGATCTGGCATCTGCTATTTTATACAGGCTGGTTTATTAACGATGTGCAAATAAACCTTTACTGAAGAGCTAATTGATTATTTTTCAGCTGACTTTGAACTGGGGCACAAAGTACCTTCTGTGCTGTAAACATCATGAATTCTTCACAAATTGGAAGCTGAAAAGGCCTAAGGAACTAGGTACAAACTCTTCTCATACGCAACCATGGCTGAGCTCAAGTCTTCCAAAACAAATTTGGAGTAGTCTGTGTTTGGTATATGTCACTGTGCTACTACACAGCACAGGCTTAGAAGATTGCTGTATATAAAAGCATACTTTTAGCTTTGAAACACGACGGTCTAATGAAAGCATGCAGCAGTATTTTCATCCATAACATGGCAGAATTCATTCTTAGTTTATTACCAGTGTTGACACAGCCAGGTGAGCACTGTACAAGCAAAAGGGATTGTAAAAAATTACCTCTGATTGAACTCTCTGTAACACTCATACGGTATCTCATTTAGTCACCTTAGGTTACTATTTCAAACAGCAATTTTTTGTAGACATAAGTTACCCTGAAAAAAAAGCAGCAATTACAAATACCCTTCTCCTTGTTTTTTTATACATTACAAAATTTATGATTGCATTTACCTGTCATCTTTTTCAGTAGCTTACAATCTAGAAGCACAGGGAGCCTTTGTTTTCCAGCTAGCTGTGGCCAGGTTAAGTCAGCTCCGGCTCTTCAGTTTTTCTGGTTAAGTGTAACATCTCACACCATTACTAAGAGTCCTATGAATTTTTTTTTAAAAACAGTATTTTTTTTTTTTTTTCAGAGCCACTAAGCAGTAACTATAACCATAGGACTAAACACCAGTAGTTATTTGCTTTCCTGTATACATTCTTCCCAACAGTAATCCTTTTACCTTTTCAGGTTTCATTTTCTGCTTTGCTCACTGCAATGGGATAAGAAGGAATTTCACCCTTAATTTATTTTTAGTGTAGCACAAGCAGAAACATCTTAACACATTACCCCCACCCGTTGCAATATGAAGATTGTTGACTGGCAAAGGCCGGGCAGATGGACTGAAAGGTTCCCCATGTTTCCTTCTCCTACAGCTGTCAGCTTGAGAGCATATTTTCAACCCAATGCAACCCCTTCCTGATTTTCAGGTGTATCGTGGCATTTCACACTGCTCACAGCGATTTAGTGCTGGGTGATTTAGAAAGGTGCAGCTATCACAATTCCATGGAGCCCCTTCAAAGTCTTCATCTCTTGGCTGAGTCCGTGGAGTCTGTTTGGAGCTGTTTTGATGCTCTAAAGAAAGACAAAAGAAAAACATTTTTTCTTATTTCAGAAAAGAAGGTTGATAGGCAAGATGATGCTGATGGTTTGTCCCCTCATTAAACATTTCATCTTAAAATGAACGTGGAAACCTTTCCACTTAGTTAACATTAAAGGTCTTTTGCTAAGGCACTTCTAATTCAGTTTATGAAATCTGAATATTTAAAGTTTTTAATTTCTGTAAAGAGTCACTTAACTGTATTACATTAAAAACAAAAAGAGCAGTCACCACTGTTAGGTCACTGATACTGCTAAAGGTTTAATAGCTTAAAACGTACTAAAAAGTTTGTTACTGGCACTGCAACACCATGCTGTTAAGGAATGACTTCATAGGTTTATGTACAGCAGTCTATTACCAAATTCTAAATTCCAATAACCCTATTTTGCCTGAAGTGAAAGACTACTTCTAACTTAGTTCCTTTGAACAGTCTATCAGATGATATATATTCTGCATCTTTTTCTAGCATTTATCCTGAAAAGGCTGAAAAAAATACAATATAAAAATAAAATGGCCTGTTTCAAAACAAGATGATTGTTTTTCTTCCTCATGGCTTTGCAAGCAGGGATGTGTGTATGTAAATCAGCATGTAAAAGTCTGTCTTCATTCATAAAATCAGCATGCAAAGTGTACATTAGGTATTAACCCATGGAAAGACTTGGTTTTCTGATGTCTCCTACCACCACTTCAAGACCTCAGGTTACCTACTAAAAGTGACAAATACTCCTAGGATGTGGAAACACAACATTTTACCAAATGTTACTATTTGAAACAACATTAGCACATCTGCTAAACAAACATCTGTAGATCAGCTTAATTAAAAGAGAACTATGTTGTAAAAAAGGACTGCAATTTGTAATTCAAAGTGCACGCATTGCTGTCACCTGCCAAGAAATCTAGCAGATGGGTGACGACAAAGTTAGTGCAAATAGTACATAGGTTTGTCTTCACAGACATACTTAAAAGAAAATAAATGTAACCGCCTTCCTTAGATGTAAGCCCTCTCCAGGACAGAATTTGCATAGTCACATTAACAGTGCTTGGCCTCATCAAATTTCTTCTAAGCAAGCAAGTAGTGTGGGCACTAGACTGCATTCATGTTGACTAGCCAGATGGCAGCACAGAGCAGACCCGTGTCTGCTTGTACCTGTCTGTCTGCCCACACCTTCAACAGCTGAATATTAAGGAAATTGAATTTAAGAAAAAAAAAAAAAAATTTTGACAACTCCACATTAAAAGCCAAGCTCAGAATACAATACACCAGCCCTCAAACTGATCTCTAATAAGTTGACAGACACAACCTGGAAGCTAGTCATAAAAGTTGTACTACTCCTTACAAGATACTCTTTCCAATTGCCAAACAAAATCACTTATTTCATGCAAATTTTGTACATTATTTTGCTTTGAAATAATAAATCAAATAGGCTAGTGTAATTAAGAGTATCTCTTCAAACATCAAGAAGTAGCAGTGCCTTAAATCAACCACATGACCACTGCAATTTAACATGAATCCAGGCAGCTGCCTTCATGCCACTGCTTAGCTGGTGCTACTGTCTTTCCTGGATGCTACCACCTATGCAGGGAACCAGCATTGGTTTTTCAGGTTTTTTTGGAACCACAAGCAGTAGTTCTGTGCCTTCTCTTTCTTTTAAATTTCCACATACTAAACATCTTATTACACCAAAGGGTAAAATACTTGCTTCAAAAAAGGGGGGAAAAACTTCCTTATAGGAAATCAAAATTCAACTGCAAAAACCTTTGTAAAGTACTTATCAGCAACTAGAACTTATTTACAAAATTTGGATTTTCAAGCAGACTATATTATTACTGATTCAGAAGAGTGACGACTTTTCTACTAACAATTTTAGTACATGCTAGTTACAGTAAGAGGAGACACACTATTATAAATGTTATCACACATAATATTTTCAGAGAAAAGACCACTGTTTTCTCTATATCAGAACACAGGATACCAGACTAGCTATTTCAGGAGAAAGATATGAAGTGTTCAAAAACTTCCACTAATATTTGAAACCACTCTTTTAACAGATTTCAGCAAGGGAAAAAAGGTCCAAAAATACCTGAGACAAAAGGTAGGATTCTGCTCCAAAATCAATACTAAACATAATGGAGTACACAGAGCACTGAGCTACATGGTGACTAGGCGTCTACTTAGGATGAGTTGAGTCACTCTGGGATGTACTGACTGAAATTCCACTGGACAAAAAGTGAAACTAAATACATATCTCCTGTGCTTACATAAAACTTAAGTGTCCTAAGCTGGATATGAATCCTAGATACAATTAGCACAGAAAATTTTAGAAACCAGTAATAAACTTCTACAAGTGGGACACTGTCATCTCTTTAGACTGATGTGACGAAACATGTTCTGTCTTGGTCCTTAAAATGTCTGAAGCTCTTGCTGTGCTAAAAACTTCAGGGCTACTGTGAAATTCATACTCTGCACAAAAAATAGGTAAAGTGTGACCAGCCAAGTTAAAATATAATTAAAAATATAAATGCAAATTTTAAAAAGCTGCTGTGATCAATTAAATTTACATAAAATAAACTATAAATTCCTAACAACATGTATTAGAAGACGGCTACACAAACCTGACAAAGAGCTTCTACCTTACAAGTATTTAAAAAAACCCCATAATTAGGAAGCTCCAGTTAACATGTAAAAGTTTGCATACATTCAACTTTCTTTCTAATAGTGAATAACAGCATTTACAAACAACATATTAACAGAACATTCACTTGCAACAACCTGCCTGAGGAAAACAAGTTGTAGCCAGGATTACATTACACTTATATAAAAATGTTCTGGTTTGGCTTATATAGAGAGAAAAGTTATAATCAGATTACTAAATTACTAAGAAGTAATAATCAGAATTGCTTCTTGCCATCACAGAGGTTTTAAAAAAAAAAAAGGGGGGGGGGCGCTTTCTCAATGCAGATTAGGTAACTTGATGCTTGTTTGTTGACCTACCCTTTTTATATGGCTTTGGTGGCACAACAGGACCAGGCTCTATGTTATCATAGAAGTTACACGTGGCTTTTGGATCAAAGTTCCCTGTCAGAAAAGAAAAGTAAGAAACCGTAACTCCAAGGTTATTCACACGCCTATGCCAGTGACAGGAACATCTAGAGGCTTCAGATTTTATACATCTTTTTATTATGACATTATATATTAGCTTTTTCCTGAGTAGTCTTTTGCCACGTTTTCAGTTTTGTGTGGATTGTAGTAATTTTTAGCAGACTAATCCCATATTGAAGTGTGAACTCCAGCTCAGTGTTCTACATTGCTTTACAAGTTTGTGAAAACATAAATCTTTGGCTAGGACACATTCTTGGTAAAAAAGGAGGACTATGCATAATCTAATCTATTTGACCGTATTTATGTCAAGTTTCTGTCACAGAAAGAGGATTTTTAAATATCTAAGTAGATTTCTGTTTGCCAACTTCACGGTTGCAATCTATAGTTCTGTTTTGTATTACTTGGTCAGAGCTTTTGCCAGCAAAAAGTTAAAAATTTAAGTAAAGAACCTTGCCTAAGGAGTTCTCGGGTTTTTTTATTTGGTCTTGACAAAGTCACTTTTAAGTCACCACTTTCTTGGTAATGTAATTTAACTTGGCCAACAGAAATATTAGCAAGTCCAGTTTATCAGGTTGCAACTAAAAAAGACACCTTTTAGAGATAAATTGATACTGATAATCAAAATTGACCTTCAAAGAATCCAAGTATCCATATATAAGCACATACGATATTAGAATCATAGAATACTTTAGGTCGGAAAAGACCCTTAAGATCATCGAGTCCAACCATTAACCTAGCACTGCCAAGTTCACCGCTAAACCATGTCTCTAAGCACCACTTCTACACATCTTCCAAATACGTCCAGGGATATGACTCAACCGCTTCCCTGGGCAGCCTATTCCAATGCTTAACAACCCTTTCAGTAAAGAAATTTTTCCTAATATCCAATCTAAACCTCTCCTGGCGCAACTTGAGGCCACTTCCTCTTGTCCCATTGCTTGTTACTTGGGAAAATAGATCAACACTCACCTTGCTACAAATCCCTTTCAGGTAGCTGTACAGACCCATAAGGTCTCCCCTCAGCCTCCTCTTCTCCAGAATAAACAATCCCAGCTCCCTCAGCCACTCCTCATAACACTTGTGCTCCAGACCCCTCACCAGCTTTGCTGCCCTTCTTTGGACACGCTCTAGCACCTCAGCATCCTTCTTGTAGTGAGAGGCCCAAAACTGAACACAGGATTTGAGGTGTGGCCTCACCAGTGCCGAGTACAGGGGCACGATCACTTCCCTACTCCTGCTGACCATGCTAGTTCTGATACAGGCCAGGATGCTGTTGGCCTTCTTGGCCCCCTGGGCACACTGCCGGCTCATGTTCAGCCCACTGTCGAGCAACACCCCCAGGTCCTTTTCCACCAGGCAGCTCTCCAGCCACTCCTCCCCAAGCCCGTAGCGTTGCATGGGGTTGTTGTGACCAAGTGCAGGACCTGGCACTTAGCCTTGTTGAATCTCATACAATCAGCCTTGGTCCATTGATCCAGCCTGTCCAGATCCCTCCAGATCCTGTCTCTATCCCATATAGAGCCTTTCCAGATCAACACTCCCACCCATACTTAAATTATGCTTTAAAAAAACCCTATCAATTCTATACCTCTAGATTGAAGGAGATCAACTTCTTTCAGTGTACAGTCAACATTTATCTGGAGCTGTCTGTTGAGGCTTCTCAATCTGGTCATTTCCTCAGGCTATAAAGAAACAACCCAAAATAGTAACTGTGGGAAAGTCAGTATCTTATCTGACATAGAAATAACATTGCTATATCTTTGTTAACAGCTTTATTAGAAACTGAGTACAGATAAGGCCCTGAAAAAAACAGCCAAGATTCCACTGTCTGTTCTGCGCCCCCCCCCAATTTGTTCCCTCAAATAACATTCTCCTATTGGCATTTGAGGAGGAAAACAAACCAAACTGACAAAAATGAACAAGTTACTTAATATTAAAACTCATTAGTAATTAGTTATAGCTGAGCTCAAGTTTATAAAACCATATACTTCATAACATTTTGTATAAATTGATGACTTGCTACATGAGTTTACATCAAAATGATCAGGAAACAGAATACAAGCTGCAGTTCACATTAATCATATTTGATTATAACTGAATAAGGTCAGAAGTTTATTTATTTGCATCACCCCAAGGAGCTCCAATATGCCAAAACTTCTAGCCCAGTATATTTAAATCATTCAATTCTGCAAGACAGTAATTATTCTTAACAAAATAATCAGTGAAGTCCATATATTTGCATATCATTAAGAAGCTCCAAGTCAGTGGAATACAAAATGTTCTTAATGGTAGCAGCATTGATCCTAACATGTACGCAGGAATAACTATCCTATCCTAGGATATATTCCAGCATCACAAAGTCACAGAATGTTTGAGGTTGGAAGGGACATCTGGAGGTCATCTGGTCCAACTCTTCTGCCCAGACAGCAAATGGCTTTTGAGTATCTCTAAGGATGAAGACTCTACAACCGCTCTGGGCAACCTGTACCAGTGCTCAGTCAACCACACAGTAAAAAAAGTGGTTCCTGATGTTCAGAGGGATCCTCCTGTGTTTCAGTTTGTGCCCTCTGCCTCTGGTCCTGTGACTAGGCACCTGTGGAAAGAGCCTGGCTCTGTCCTCTCTGCACCCTCCCTTCAGGTCTTTGTACATTGATAAAATGCCCCCTGAGTCTTCTCTTCTCCAGGCTGAAGAGTCCCAGCTCTCCCAGCCTATCCTCACAGGAGAGATGCTCCAGTCCCTTAATCATCTTTGTGGCCCTTCACTGGACTCTTGAGTATGACCATGTCTCTCTCTCCTACTGGGGAGCCCACTCCTGAACATCATACTCCAAGTGTGGCCTCACCAGTGCTGAATAAAGGGGATTTTTATTATTATTTTGTTTTCTTTCTATATATTATTTTCTCTCCACTTGCTAGCAACACTTCTAATACAGCCCAAGATATCATTAGCCTTCTTTGCCACATTGCTGGCTCATATTCAGCTTGGTCTACACCATGACCTTTTCTGCAAAATTGCCTTCCAGCACTAGCTGACTACAGCCCTCAGCTTATACTGGTGCATGGGGTTGTTCCTCTGCAAGCACAGGACTTAGTACTTCCCCTTGCTGAATGGTAAAAGGTTCCTGCCAGCTCATTTGTCCAGGTTGTTGAGGTCCCTCTGAATGGCAGCACAACTCTCCCAGTTTTGTGTCATTAGCAAACTTGCTGAGGGTATACTCTGCCCCATCACCCAAATCATTAAGGAAGATGTTAAACGGGATCAGACCCAGTATTGACTCCTGCAATACACTGCTAGTTGTATTGGCCTCCAACCACACTTTGTGCCACTGGCCAACGCTCTTGGCCTGGCTGTTCAGTCAGTTTTCAATCCACCTCACTGTCTGCTCATCCAGCCCATTCTTCATCAGCTTCAGGAGACAGTGCTGAAAGCCTTACTGAAGTCTAGGCAGACAATAACTACTGCTCTCCCCTCATTTACCAGGCCAGTCTCTTCATCGCAGAAGTATATCAAATTGATCAAGCTTGACTTCCCCTTGGTGAATCCATGCTGACTACTACTGATCACCTTGTCCTTCATATGCCCAGAAATAGTCTCCAGAATTAGCTGAACTGTTGTGTTCCCAGGGATCAAGGTGATGTTGACCAGCTTGTAGGAACTACTAGGTCCTCCTTTTTGAAGACAAGAGTGACATTTGCTCTCCTCTCGTCTTTGGGCACTTCTCCCAAACACCATAATCAACCAAAGACTCAAGAGTGGCCTCGCAATGACATTGGCCAGCTCCCTCAGCGCTCATGGGTGCATCCCATCCAGGACCATGAACTCATGTATGTCTGCTTTGCTTAAGCATTCCCTGACCTGATCCTCTTCCACCAAGGGTATACCTTCCTTGCTCCAGACTTTTCCCAGAATCTCTGGGACCTGGGATTCCTGAAGGCCTGTAAAGACTGAGGCAAAGGCAGCATTCAGTATCTCAGCCTTTTCCATGTCCTATGTAACCAGGTGTCATTGACCAATGGGCCCACATTTTCGCTAGCCTTCCTTTTGTCACCTATGTAACAACAGAAGCCCTTCTTTTTGTCTTTGACATCCCGCGCCAGAATCAACTCCAGTTGGGCCTTGGCTTTCCTAACCTCATCCCTGCATACTCAGCCAGTGCCTCTTGTGTTCCTCCCAGGAACACATCTGCCAAATGCCACCCTGAGACAGGTGAGACATACAGCAGCCATACTAGTTCAGCTAACAGCCCCTACTATGCCTTCCAGCCTGCATCTGTGTGCATTATGTCAACACAGTGAGTAAGTCTGAACTGATTGGCTAACCACTGCACAAAGTGGAAGTTATTTTTCAGTCAGATGAATTCCCTTATCAGAGCCATACAGATGTTTGGGCTAGTGTCACTTGCAGGTGGAAGTCACACAGATAGGAAGAATCAAAAACAGGAGAGAAGGGTGCCAACTATTTGAGCCAATACCACCACTGGAAAGTTACTTGGCACATACTGCACATGCCAAATGGGAAACAGATTGTCTAGGAGATGCAACTACTCAAACAACAACACACCTCAATATAACAAAATCCCTTTAAAAAAAAAAGTGAAACTTTGCGGCATGAACACCAAGCTGTATATGGCTCAGGCTCTTTAAATAGACTTGGACATACACATTTATAGGTTGTTAGGAAAGTAACTATCTATTCAGTTTTGTGGTCCACAAAAGCGCATGTATACAAGACTCAGAAATTCTGTTGTGAACACTAAGAAAGCTGGACACATACTTGTTTCTTAAGTTATAAGAACTGGCTTACAACGAGCCAAGAACTTAGAAAAATCAGCTCCAAAGATTGAAGATTTTATACCCCAAAATATTTTTTGTACAATACTTTAGTTCATGAAAACATAAAAAATAAATTTGTATCTTGAATTAAAATACTAACAAATTGCTTACTGTTGGAATTGCAGTTGTACAGCTAACTCTTCGAAGCCGCCTCTGCATTAGATCATGCTCCATGCCATTGACTTCAGCTTTCAGGCGTTCGAGCTCTTCCTTCTCAAGCTTCAGTTCCTTTGCTAATCTCTCCATCCTTGCTCGTTGATGTAACAGCAAGGCTAATGGTTTACACAGAATAAATAGTTACTAATACAAAAAACCTGGAAAACTGAATTCTTAACTTATGCGTAAGAGTCATGAGTGACCTTTCTGGAAAAAAAAAGTGATCATAAACATGCAGCCAAATATCAGTGTGAAGATGCTTTCATGCCAAATGAACTACAATTTAGAACAAAGTTCTTCCAGAATAAAAACACATTTTAAACAGTAACTTGAAGTTGATATTACCATTTTGGTCAAAGCTTCTTTTTTTGCATTTGGTCTTTCTCGTCTCAAAAATACAAAGGCACCTGTACAAGGAGACAGCTTCTCAGGATGAAACAGCAACCTAGTTTTATTAATACTGTACTGACAAAAAAAAAAAATAAAATACCAGAGGTAAGATCAGAAGGTAACACACACTTCATATCTGCTGCTCAATAGCAGCTGACACACTAGCCTTAAGACATTAGCCAAATGTCAGTCATGAATTGTTTTTTTCACTGTTGGTGCAGATTATGGTATAATCTTAGCTTTTCAATAAGCTCAGTACTATAAATTCCCCAGTGCTCTATGGCAAAACTATAGAACTTCAATAAAATAGACTAGAGAATCCAGAAAATAACAAGTGGGGGCAGCTCAGGTGCTTCAGAGTCTTTAATTCTGCAGTAGAGCTGATCTGCTGTTCTCTAACCTCTCTCTGCTGTTAATCATGCTCTCTTATTTTTGTCATGGTACTGAAACTTATGACTCTCAGTCACAAGCTGATGTTGGGCTCCCAGAGCAACCAAATAAATTCTGACCAGCCAGAAATTAATATTCAGTTTCTGCAGGAAGAGTCTGTCTCAGTATTTCACTATGATGCAAAACTGGCCAAGTTAATTCGTGTGATACTTAGCACTTTCTGATCTGGGTGTTTTTAACCTGATTCAAGTCTACTAGGACAGAGGAAAATAAGAGAAATTTGGTGTGGGTGTTCAGACAAGCCCACTGCTCATATAACAATGTTCATACATTTGAACAGTTGGCTGGAAGACATTACTGAATCTGCAAAATGCTGTTTCATACAATGCACCAGCCAGCACCTGCCCTCTTCTTCACCACTATCCAACATAGGCAAAGGAAAACCAAATAATCTCTCAAGAATATTTGCATACTAGCTAAAAAAAGTTAGAAAAATAAGCAACAATATGACACAGCTTACTGGGGGAGGATAAAAAACCCCAACCCAGTCAGGAGCATAAAAATGACAGTGGTTTTTATCAGATATTAGTATTCTGTGCAAAAAAAGTAGCACTGTACTTTGGATTTTGTATGGATCCACCAATTCATGGCCAAAGAATAAACACTGAAAATCCTATCCATGAATAACATCAGATGTTTTTATAATACAGGCACCAGTATTACTGAAAAAAAACTGTTCTCTACTTTTTGAAGTAGCGTCAGTCATCCAAGTAGAATTTAAGAGATCACAAAATTTTAAAAAAGTACAGACACCAGGCTGTATGATTTTCCACTATCAAACCTTGTCTTTGTGGATTCCTCCCAATTCAACATCTGATATGACTACATTACATAGCTTCTCTTTATACTCTAGTACAACTCATCAAACATGACTCACGCTACAAAGAAACAGTGGAAGTATAGACACTAGAATGGATTTTTGTTAACGCTTTTCACCACAGTTCATATTCAAAAGAAAGTTAAATAAACTTCTTCCCTATATTAAGCTGTTAAGTATACTCTTCTTTAGGACTCCTTTGTGGTAGTAAAGAATATAATGTTTATTCTTCTACAATTTATTTCTATCAAGAGTTCAGAGTGCAGCAGTACTAAAGGCTGTAATAAAGTCCCAGCTGTGGTAGGTATTGCCACAAAAGCAGATGCCCCAAAAAGCATATATTAACTTTTTTGGTTTATTATTATGTTCGTTTTATTGGTTTTGTTTTCCAAATACACAAATCTAGTCAAAAATACAAAGGGAAAACCAGATTTCTACATTTCAGAATATGTCTTTCTCAGAGCATATAGCCTAGGAGTTACAGACCTACTAGTGTTCATTGTCTCTAAATAACATTTCTAACTGAGTCTACCAGGTACAGAACAGACCTTTGTTGATGAGTTAGAATAGCTCAAAAGACACGAATTGAGAAATCAGGAACTACAGGGCAGCATGATAACCATTATTACAGCTCTCAAATGAAAGGATGGCTAGAAGGAGCAATGGAGGAATAGACTCCCCTTTCCAAACACAAATCTAGAAACAAAGCTCATTCTTTAAATAATTGCTGCTGATTATTATTCTGTCATTATCCAAACGATTGGTTTGAATGCTTGCAGACTGATTCATTTGCTCAATTTTAAGTGGTTTCATATCTATAAAGCAGATTGAGAAAAACACTTTTCAGCTAGAGGTTCAATTTCACCTTTTTTTTTTTAACTAAAAACTTAATTCTTTACTTAATTCTTCATTTATACGTGGCATTAAGACTAATTATGTTCTATTCCTGTGCAGAAGAACACACATCCTAAAATTTGTCTGCCAATCTCTTCCTCCTCTTTGAAAGGGGAAGACATAAACTTTTGATTAAGTTCTTCAAAATAATGATTTTAATACCTTTCACAACAAAAATATGATTTGTGTTGACACCCAAAATAATTTTAGCAGCAATCCTACTTCTCCCTTCTTTCACTTACAACTCTTCAATTTAAACCAAATAAATTGGATTCAAATTCCCTGAAGAAGTTAGTGCTTCACGTTTTATAAAGCATCCGAGTATGGAACAATACAAAAAATAATAAAATCCACATGTAAATTTATGACACAGTTCTTCAAACACAGAATTTACAAACTGGACACACAGTATATGAACAAACCACTTACTCTTGCTAGTTGCAGTGTTTTCTGTTAAGAAATTCGCCTAACATCAAAAGCATAGCAACTTTAAGAATCTCAGAAATTCTTTATGTATTAGACAGAAATTTGGCAAAATTTTTAAAAAATCAGAACAAACTCTCTCATTAGATGGTTTTTAGTGCAATTTCTATCCTTCTCTGTACAGGTTCAAAAATTTTCACTTAGTAAGTAGCAAAATCAAGATGAAAATGCACTTCACAATAATACAATTTGCAGGGTGAAACATTTACCTTGAGTGTAAGCATAGTCATCTGATCCAGAACTAGAACTTCTCTGATATTTATGGCTTCCTTTTTCTCCTCCAGATCCTGGGATTACAGAAATAGGCTGAATAGGTTCTGGTGCTGCAGAACGCTCTTCTTGGTCCACTAAATTTAAAAGATTCTCAGTCGGTGCTCGACCTACTGTGATTTTAAAAATGGTTGGGTTTGGCTGAGATACCATTACCCGAGGAGACTGTGTTGGTGCACCTGTAGGTCCAGTTGGTTGAGTGTAGGTAATATATACTGGATTAACACTAAATGGAGGTTTGGGTTGACCTGACATACCTCTTGATGGAGAGCTTGAAGGAGGAGTAGTGGCTGCATACAGTGGGTGCTGGTTTCGTTGAGATGGTTGATTACTTATTGGTGAAGGACTTCTGTTCATTGCAGTCCCAGGTCTTTGTGGTGGCTCAACTGTAATTTCTATTTTATTCATGGAACCTTTGGGTAAACTAGGTCCAGCAAAAGGAGGAAGATATGATACAGAGTGACCGCCTTGTTTTTGGAAAGTCTGGGATGCTTGTTGATATGGATGGGTTGGGACAGTTGAAGGACTAGGAGGCATGAAAACATGTGAACTCTGATGACCCAACTGAGGAGGTTGAACCTGGTGTTGAGGAGAGCCAAAGGGAGAGGGACACTGGGATGCCGGTGGTGACCGAAAAGCTGACTGAGGGATCTGGGGTTGTTTAGGAGAATACTGAGAAGGTTGGTAGTTCTGTTGATGTGGATACACAGGTAGAGGACGGGGAGTATAATGTGGAACTGGGCCCTGTGGCGATGAATGCCACTGTGTATTCTGAGGAGTCTGTCGTCCTGAAGAACTTTGAGATGTTTGTCTTATATAAATAGAGCCAGGAGTCCCATAAAGATTGCTTGGAATCTGTGGAAGAATTTGTAGAGCTCTGGGTACACTCTGTCCCGAGGGGAGGTTTTGTGATACTGTAACAGTAATGGGATTTGTACTGTACCGAGGTATGTGCATATACGTGGGAGGAGGGCCTTGCATAGCAGACGTGTTCATTCCTGGTTGTATGGAAGATGGCTGTGGAGGTGGCTGTGGAGGAGGAGTAGCTGCATTTCTATTCTGGTCATTCATGAAAAATGGATTGTAACTAGGAGAAGCTGCCACAACAGCAGGAGCAGAATGTGGTTCTTGAACTAAGCATATCAGCTGTTTACCTGCTGTGCGTTGTGGATCAATATGTCCATCACTTGAACTGTGTACCAGTGTACGACCACCATTAAGTTGAGTTCCATCCCCTGCATGATAGCTGGTATGAGGATGAATACCCAGATTAATGTGCAACAGGCTATTTCTATTCATTCTGGTGTCATCAGGGCTATGGTACTCCATATATAAGTATTTGTTGCTCTCCTGTGAGAGGGCTCGACAACAGGCATCTAGGTTGTTGTTGTTCTAGGAGGAAGAATGGACACATCTTATTGTCAAAAACCACAAGAAAAAGCCACTGCTCAGCATTCAACCAGCATTCAACTGAAGATGCAATCAAGCCTAGCTTGAACACAACTAGGAATAACAACTCACAGATACGAATTTTGAAATAAAGGTAATACCTACTACGTCACAGTATGCAAGTAGTCATAGCTCACACTGAATCTAGCAAAATGCTGTGGTAACACCAGCTACAGTATAACGTATTAAAAATCAAATCCCAGTTTTGGGGAAAACAATGGTTAGAACTCTTGTCATCTTCTGCAGGGAACAGGTATGTACAATTAACTATTTTAATAACAACACGAATCAAACCAAACTAGATCAAAATTGCAAACTCTGGAAAGGTGAAACAAAAATGTAGATGACACTTTAAAGTTTCACAGAATCACAGAATGGTAGGGGTTGGAAGGGACCTCTGAAGATCATCTGGTCCAACCCTCCTTCCAAGGCAGGATCACCTAGGGCAGGTTGCACAGGAACACATGCCGTTGGGTTTTGAAGGTGTCCAGAGAAGGAGACTCCACAACCTCTCTGTTTTCACCTTTATTTTACTGTTTACCTGAGTATTTATCTTTTAAACTGTCAGGTAAAGCCCAACCTTTTAAACAGACTTTAGTGCGTTAAAAATTAAGTCAGAATAAGTATTGCTTGAAATAGTACTGGTAATTCCACAAAGCACCTTACAATTCTGACATAATTTCAATGGCCTTTAAATTTCAGGCTCAAGGCTAAAAAAAGGTTTATTCATACATCAGTGAGGAAACCAAATAACTTCTGTAAATATTTGATTTGTTTTGTGGTGCCAGTAGCTAAAACTATACAGACAATAAATTATGAATCAAATCAAAAGTATAATGGGGAATTCCCTTTCCCTTCTTCCCCTCTCCACTCGTTTGAGCTTCATCTAGTCTTGTTAAAAGAACAACAGGAATGATAACTTTTCCAAAAGACTAAAATCACTAGAAAGCATTCCAGACTGGAGATATTTTTTTCCTCCCCAGTTTCTTATACAACAGCCTGTATCAGCTGAGGTTCAGTTTTTAATTTAAACAGTAGTGAAAGAAAAAAAAAAAGACTTTAAGTCAAGTTCAACTACATCTGGCCCTCAGCACCCTAAATTTGTTACGTGTGATCCAAGACCAGTACCTTCTGTGACATACAGCACCTCCTACCAGAACAAGTGTGTACGTATTTATACATACATGCCTACACCGCTCCATCCTTAGCATGCTAAAATTACCATTCTAAGGAATATACATTAATAATGTTTTCACTTCTGTTTTAAACATTATCACTTTATAAAGTTTGTATACATACTAATACTCACATGGCCTTGCAATACAATTTTCAACAGCCTATTCAGTTGGTTGAAAAGTCACAGTTACATTTCTTTTTCTAAAGGACTGGTACCTAGCCAATCTTAATAATAAAGTGAAGAGGACTTTCCCAACATTTCATATGAATTCACTATCAGGGAACACACATATTCAGCATCTTCTCAGATTAAGACTTACTACTGAACATGACAAAAGACAGAAGAGTCCAACATTTAATTATGTATTGCTCTCACTCTATGGATACTTCTCCCTGACTACTTCCCCTTCATGCCAAACTCCCCTTCTAGACCCCAATTGTCAATGGGAATATCCAGACATATCACTGAAAAATTTAAAACCAAAACGTGTGGGAACCAGACCTTATAATAATAACCAGCACCACAGTGCCAAGACAGCAGTCTCATAAAAGTTAACCACTACCATTAGCCACTTGCCACCTAAGCAGGACTTCATAAAGAGAGTCCTCAGCTTCCTTAGGTCACTTCAACAGGGTGGAGGTAAAAAGAACATAGATAGGACAACTCCTAATCTGATTTTCTCAGGGTATGGAATATATTTGTCATTTCAAGGGACCTTCAATTTTCAATAGGTCCAAAACTCAGTGGTTTATATCTAGAGAACAGGTTAATATATATCTAGGTTAATAATATATCTATTGCAACAGGTTAATGGAAACCAACTCATGTATCTTAAAACAAGTATAAAATGGGTTTGGAAACAAATCCTACACTCTAAAAAGTGACAGATATTTGCAATGTAATGTTAACTAGCTATCCAGGACACTGTATCATAGATACTGAACACCGTATGCTTCTGCAGCATTAGGGGTTCTTTATCAGTTTAAAGATGTCTATAAACTTAAACATAGTTCATCAAAAGGATCGTGTACTTAACAGTACTGAAGAGATGACTGTCAGGGTAAGTAAGGCTTTATATTGCAGTGCTTCCCCCACTTCACATTTGTCGGAAAGCAATTACACAGAATCACAGAATGGTAGGGGTTGGAAGGGACCTCTGAAGATCATCTGGTCCAACCCCCCTGCCAAGGCAGGATCACTGAGGGCAGGTTGCACAGGAATGCATCCAGTTGGATTTTGAAGGCCTCCAGAGAAGGAGGCTCCACAACCTCTCTGTTCCAGTACTCCGTCACCCTCCCAGTAAAGAAGTTTTGTCTCATGTTGAGGTGGAACTTCCTGTGCTGCAGTTTGTGCCCATTGCCCCTCATCCTGTCACTGGGCACTACTGCAAAGAGACTGGCTTCATCCTCCTGACAGCCAGACTTCAGATATTTATAGACATTGATAAGGTCTATAACTCTGGTAATTCATTTGTGTTTGTATGGTTTAGAAGACACACAATGCAAAACTTACAGCCACAGTTTTAAGTAAACTTACTCTTCTGCCAGGGACATGTAGCATGCAAATGCAGCTTCACTACTTTCATATGCAGCAGTTTATCACATTAGGTTCCACCTTAGCCGTGGCCACACAAGGCTAAACAGATCTTACTGTTGTTTCTATTGACAGATGTTTCTATTCCACTCCTGAATCTTCCCATTAACGGAAGGTATTCCCACGACTTTGAAAAATTATTACGTGTGGTCGCTTATTATCACTTCCAATTTGTGACTTTAGATGAAGGCTGAAGGAAGAAGTGGGAAGAAAAAAAAAAAAACCTGCCACCTGACTTGGAAACAGAAAAGTAAAAATAAAACATCTGGACAGCTGTGGCAAAAAGATGCCATGAAAACAGAAAACGTTTATATTCCTAGCTAAAGCCAGTTCCTTGGAAGAATGAGTCACTGTTTGCTAAAAACTCTGTATATGTATGTTATTTATGTAGCCATCAATAACGATCCCATTAGCCACTTCCTTATTCCTTGTATGCATACAGTCACAGGTCACATAGACAAAGAAGAACAGTCAGCGAAAAAACCCCACAAATATAAGTGAAGAATAATAAAATCTTTGTACATAAAAGACAGGAAAAAAACGCAAGTAACAGAGTCTTCCACCCTTTCAAAATAAAACCAGAAGAATGACAATCTATGCTCCATGTGTACTACTAAAGAGAATTTTCATACTACAAAAATAAGATACACAGACTCTTAAAAACTCTACCATACCTGAAGCATGCACTGAGATACCACCCCTTCAGGTATCTCAGGGAAACGTTGTCGGAGATCATGGAGTACCTGCACATCGAGCTGTTGACTGCCCTGCGCCATGCCAGATTGATGTCCTTCCAGATTACCCAAAAATGGAAGTCAACAGGCCTTCCAATGATTATGGTCTTCTGAGGCTTCGGGCATTTTCTGTAAGAAAGAAAACACAATCAATTATCTTTTGAGCCATCACAACAACTTTTCCTCTTTCCCCAGCTGCATGTGTAAAAGAACTACTGTATTACATTTTTAGATCTAGATATCAAGAGAGACAATGGCTTAAACACAAGAGTGGGAATCATCAAGTCTCAAATTTATTAAAGCACTTAACATATCACAGGCATGTCTATATGACATTACATTGGAATGTGCTAGTTCAGGTCTTTACACAGTCCCATTGTGTTACCATGTAGGCATAACTTAATCTGACCTGCATAAACCAGAATAGTTACGTATTTACTCCCAGTGAAATTCTGAACAGTTTGTAGAAAAGTCAGAAGTTATCACAAAGCATGCATGTTTTTGATATTTACAACATGCTAGAAATAACAGGCTAGAAAACCAAGTAGCACGATTATCCAAAAATATTCCTCTAGTAATAGCACTTAAACTCTTTTCTTTTTACATTACTACAAATCCAAAAGGTTGGAAGCAACGTTTTTGTGAAACACAAGAATTAAACAGAATTTAAAGAGTCCTTTTTAGGATTATGATAAGCATCTATTTAAGATTTTTGTACAGCACCTATTACATTCATACTAACATGATTAGTGACAAAAAAACCCTCTATCCATTTCAGGAGTCTTGTATTCAACAGTGAAAAGATTCTATCTGAACTTCAATACCCAAGGACTACTAGAAGGCAAATACAGTCTAAGTCAACAAATGCTCTTCTCACTTGTGGCTCATGATCACATCAGTAATCAAAAGGTAGCTGAAGTCTAAGATTCACAAAGTCTTAGCGTGAAGGTGGTACATGACATAGGCCCTGTAACACATTTATTATTGCTAAGCTTCCAAAGCCTTTACAACAGTACTACTCAGTTGAATTCTTAACTGCAGAGAATGTAGTGCTCTGTTCAATGGAAATGAAAGTCAGATACCAGCAGAGTTGGTGTTCAAGTAATATATTAGCTACTCAAAGTCCCGAGTTTAAGTCATGCTTATCTCAACCTCAGTGCAATTGTGAGTGGCTCATAGTATAGATATTCCAGTCAGTTTTCATTTGTTAGCTCAACTTCCCACAGTAGTCTAGAGCAGTACAACAGATCAGCACATACATACACATACCTTTATGCACTAATGAACTCCGACAGTTTCCATTATCTGTCCTAAGAAAGACTCTTAGTTTTCATAGGCAAGAAAATAGAACATATATATCTTCAAAGAAATATAAAATGCCAGCTTTAAGGTAAAAAAAGCTTTGGTGTTTATTTATTTATTTATAAATTATTATTTTGAATATTTAATAACAACACATCTTTCTTTTTTGACCTCTTTCTAAATAGTAACAACAACCACCACCACCACGACAATAAAAACAGAAGTCCACTCCACTGTCTGGCTACTTTGTATGTGGACAGCTCTTAACTGACATTAGCATTCATTAAATAACACATATGCTTACAGCAAGGGTTGCTCTCTGTTGTATCTGATGTATTCCAGTATCCAGTATCTATCACATCACACTGTTTCTCAAGATAAATGAGACAAGTTTAAAGAACAGTGAGATATGTGAATTATCCTGCTGTGGTTTAAGAAATTCTACAATAAACTTACTTCGTATAATCACAATGCAGTTCTGTCCACTGCAGTAATGCTGCAGACCCCTTTTAAAATAAAAGAAAACAAATTTCAACTGACTGTAAGAGTCAGCTGAAACTTCGTATCTACACTCACAGTAGGGGATCTTTTATAAAACTTATTTTTCATAAATGACAAATATCATACTCTAAAAGGCAGACCATCTTTGAATTCTCAAAACCTGACAGCAATCAAGCTCTATGTGTTTCTAGACAACTATCTTTTTCCCAGGAGGCAAGGGATGAAGTGCAGTAATGGAGGAGTACCCTACCAGAATAAATTGCAGTTAAAACCCCTGTGGAATAACAATGACAGTATCTGAAAATCTGAAGTAGAAGATAATAATTTTAAGAATTTCATTTGCATGAGCAAAAGCCTTTGCATCACTTCTCTCTTCAAATGCAAATTCAAATGTAACATCGGTGAGCAGACTTGGAGATCCACCATCGATACATACAATGTCTTTCTACAATGCTTTCATAATAATCTAAATTAATAATTTCTTTGATGTTTTCCTAGCACTTTCCAAATATGTGTGGTGAGTAGAGATATAACACTCAAAGTAATTGGTAGTTATTGGCCAACTATGAATTCCATCACAGAGTTCTCTTCTAAACACAAATAATGGATAACAAATTTCCATTCTCATTTTGAAGAGTTGAAGCTTCTGGCCTTTACAGTTACATGGGTAGTCTTGAAAAGTCTACAAGAAACCCAAAATAATTGCCTTGAGAAGCATGAACACACAATCATTTCGAACTCCTTGGATTCCATGGCTACACAACTGTGGAACTTGGTTATTTTTCAGCCAATACCACAAAATTCACTACTGCCATATCTAGGAGACCAGACCATACCTAATGCCCAGCATTTTGTCCTGCCTATTCTGCTTGACCTGCCTATAACTGACCACACATTTTCCACTCTAAGCAGGCACAAACTGGCTGGAATACACCACTTGCTTCCCATCTTGCTCCACAGCACCAGGCAGGTGGAGAAGCAAGTTGTTCAGAGAGCCAAGAGCTTACAGTGCAGACAACACAGCTAAGATGCTTAGACAACAAGAGCTCCTACTGAGCCACAAGAGACTAGGAAAGCAATCCTTCAAAGCTTCTTTCTTTCACAGCATGTACAGGCTAAGGGACATGCCGAGGTGCACTATACTACCAGACTTATAATTACTGAGAGTTCACAGAGTAGAACACATCAAAAAAACAAACCCTAAAGTCACAATGAAAGCAAGCTGCTTCACTTTTTAACTTTCAAAAATGAGTTGAGGCTACCCAAACTGTAGTTGAAAAGAATTTAATGAGGATGGAATAAATTGACATTGCTATATACATGGCAGTTCTAATGGCAAAAACAAAGGATATTGTTGCAGAATTGGTCCCGCTGTGTTAACAAAGAGACGACCTCGGCAGCCACTAGTGAGTCTTGAGGATTATGCAAAGCATGACTCAAGTCCTGAACAAGTACACTAATCAGTTTTTCACACCTTTTACATGTCCAAATTAATGTACAGGAAAACAGTATCTTAATCTTCTTTCCCTAAGCCATCTGTGTACCTTGTAAGTTAAGAAAATAGTCAACAGTTCCATCAATCAACCGATGCCGCTTTTCTGAAAGAATGGATAAAAAAGTAGAATTACTATAGTCTTGATACTCCCCACAAATATGTTCAAATATATACAGAAGGAAATCCATTTCACTACTGTTATTTTTGAAGCACTAAATCACCTAAAATGAAAACACACGAATCATCAGTAACGAGATCCAACTGAAAAATAAATTAGGTCAATACATACTATCTGGAAGTTTATAAATTATGTACTGGTGTGCACTTATGCAATTACAATGTATACAGCAATTAAAATAATTCCTGAGTGAATTTCCAGAAAACAGGTTACCTGGAAGACAGTTTCTCATGCCTCAACAATTGAAAGTTAATTGTTAAGAGTTTTATAACAGTTGGGCCATGAAAGGATCAGAGGAAAAAAAACAAGACATAACACATCAATAAACAAATCAGTTTATAAGAGAGAGCAACATTTCAAAGGCATCCTGCTTCTATATGTTTTAAGTAAATTCCTCCATCTTAAAAGATTATTTCAATCTTTAGATTACAAGGATGAGGAAACACAGATGGATTTAATACAGTCAGGTCAAGAAACACAATTTTTCCTCTGAATACTACACAAATGTAATTCTTAAATTTCATTGTCCTGACTTCTAATAAAATGCAATGCTAATGTCTACAGATGAAAAGTGGATTTATCAAGTGGCATTTACATGAACTCAATCCAAGATTTGTAAATTAATCTATTTTTCCCCCTCCTTGTTTATCTTTGTTTCATCAAAGTGTTGAAGATAAGTTTTGGCCTTCAGATTCATAAATGCAGTAGACTTTTTTTTTTTTACTTAAGCACTCACAGGTCAATTCCTTCAAATCCTTGCACTGGACTGACAGGCTTTTAGCCAAGATGTAGAAAAGGATTCAGGGAAAGCTAGCAAAGCTGGATGCTCTATTCTATCTAAACATTGCAAGAACTAGAGTATGAAGAAACCAGGAAATTTAGGTGGACAAACAGTAAAACAATATCAACTTCTTAATTATGGAGTCTTCAGAACAGAAAGAACAAAATTAATATTAACACAAATCAGTAAGCTGAAATAAAAATTAACATATCTAACATCTCCACCAAGCAAAAGTGATTTTGACTAGAGATATTTAAAGTCATTTGCAGTAAATATGAAGCGGCAAAACCAATAAACAGTTATACAATTCAAACTCATGACCACAATTCCTAATTGTTATCTGTTTAAATACGATTTGTCAATACCAACAACTCATTCCTGTTTATATCTGCTACTGGCATTTAGGCATGTAACTTCTGATATGAGTAACACTGGTATCAGTATCACTGCTACTCAGAACTTTATTCCTGTTCTGAACCAAACAGAAGAGCACTAACAGCCTGAATATCCTCCCTGAACAGGGATTTTTCTTCTTTGGAAAGGAAAGGAAATACTACCTTATTCCTCTGGTAGTAAATAGAGGGAGAACTATGAAGAGGGAGGATGGGAACTGTGGAAGTAGAAAAAGAGATGAAAGTAAAAAATTCAGTTTCATTAATCTGGATCAATACAGAGTTTTACTTCCACCAAAAATGGCAGGGTAGATAAAAATGAGATCATGACCAAAAGAGAATTATGATGTTCTTTAAATGGAAGAACAATTATAAAAACTTAACACTCATTTG